AAATTTTGCTCCTGCGTGATTTTTTAAAGAATAAATACATACAAGTATTATTTTTAACTTCAAGCAATACTTTACTTTTACTTTTAAAAAATATAACTTAATGCATTTAAATTTTATTACATTATTATGCTTATTTTAATTGGCTTTATATTGTGTATATTATTTTCCAGCTGACACTACTTATAGGTAAAAACAATGTAATAAAAGAACAAATATCTGTCATACGATCTGGTATTGAAAGGCTGAGTTCGACCACGAATCAAATTTTGGTAAGTCATACATAATTACTCGAAATTATTAATACATTATTCAAAAATAAACAAAAGAAGAAGTATAAAAATTTTATGTTATATATAAAACTTTTATTTTTTATCACTTTCCTTTACACATTACATTAGCAAATTAACAAAATTATATCAAAATGTGTTCTTTCAACTACATAATTTTCTCTTACATGTTGTTACAACATATTCATATGGAAAATTGTTTTTGTAGGAAAAATTTGCTGCATTTTTGGCTGGTCGTCCCAGCCATCAGAAGGTACCACACATGCGAAATCGTGAGCAGAATCACAACAACCACATGTCGGCGACTTCCAATCCTCCAATAAACGGTATTGAGTAACGAGCAAGTCTGAAAACTGCTACGTGCGGGTTTCTTTCCCCTTCTGGTATGGATTTCAATTACAAGGTCAAAGACACGAGGATAGAAATCACGCCGAGTCGCCACTCATTGATTAGCATAACGTTTCATCGACCGTAATTACATCATTATTTTTTACGATCTTGTTTTTGTGAAATGATAATAATTACAGGATTATATTTTATCATTGGTACAATGTACTCGTGCCATACTCATTTTGTGCTTCTGAACTTAGCCATTAGTCAAAACAATTGCTTTTGCAGTAATTAAGTGTAAGTAAAGAAATAAAGAACCGTCTTAGTTTTAATACGAAGTCAAATTTATCTTTTTCCTCGTGTTTACCCTTTTGAACACTTATTAATGATACATAATAATAATATATGTACTGGATAAATAAAGAAAAATTTAATTAAGTAATTATACTATTGAAAACTCTTAAAAAAATGATATCTTTTTATAACTTAATTAACTTAATTTCTGCATTTTTATTCGTTATTGTATAAGTACTCTTTATTTTTTAATTTCATGTCATAAATGTGGAAAAAGTATATTGTTAAATTATAGTTTACATATTATAATTTAAATCGAATCGATTACATATTGTGCGTTTAAAACGTTAAATTATGGACACCCAGAATGAAGTGATTGCAAGACGTTACTAACATCCAGCCTCTCTCTTCAGATTTCCTTCAATAGTGAAAGTGGAGAAATCTTAGGTAGTTATAAAATTTTTATCTTAAGATAGAATACTATCTTTTTATATTCTTCAAGCGCATTCCAATGCAAACTTTCAATGTATATTGATATATAATATACCAATTGGTTTTTTAATTATATTGATATACTGAAAATAATATCATAATATACATTAATCTTGAAAAGTAATATATATTATTATGTTTTTACATGAAATGTTATGAATAACTTCAAATAAATGGTTCTGCATATAATATTAATAAAATACTAATAAATAATAATGTATTCTTATATAATATATAACATATAAATATATGATTACATTATAACAATGTGTTTGTATATAAATATTATTATATTTAAATAGTAGTTACAGTCTTTATAATATCCTTTAATTGATAATCAAGAACTTTTTTGCGAACTTTTATAAACATGTACGTTTTATAAAAACATTTAATTACATTTGTTTTAAAATTTTCATACAAAATGTTATATAAATTTAGTAAAAAATGTCTATACATAATGCTAACAATATATTCTTATACACTTTTTAAATAATTTATACATATTAATATTCCAAACTGTAATTGCATATACAATATTATATGTACTTATATATACAAATTAGAATTATTAGAAGTATTATATATACAAATTAGAAAATGACGAACAATTTAAGTTAAGTAAGCAAAACCTATCGTATTCATTTAATTTGTTCATGTGGTATTTTGTACTACATGATAAAAGCTTATCTATAAATAGCTGTCTAGATGGAAAAATATTTGTTATGTATATATGTCTGTGGACTCTGGAATTTAATCGAACAGAAATAAAAATAACTTCAATTCGCTTTTTATGAAATATCATGATAATTTTATAGTTTAACCTTGAACTGCTTATTCAGATAAATTTTGATCATAGTTCAATATCAAAGTTCATTATTTTTAATTGTTGCGTGATTATTTTTTTATATTAAATTGTAATAATTTAAGAACATTAGAACATAATAACAAATATTTAACTATCATCCACTCTATATATATATATATATATATATATATATGTGTGTATATGTATATATGTATGTATATATATATATATATATATATATATATAAATTCTAAAATTCCCAATATGATAATTATTTATCATTATTATAAAAAATTATAAAATAACAAAAGAGAAAAGAAAATTGCAAATATCTTATATATATAAATTATACAATATAAGTTTCTATATTCTATAAGCTATATAAGTTTCGTTTTAACCCCTAAATTTTCATTTTTGGTTATTCTTAGTTTTATTCTTGATTATTCTTTAGTTATTCTTAATTAATATCCTTTAATAAGAAGCTTGAATTAAAGTTTTAAATAGTATTGAAATAATCTTTTAACAAAAATATTAATAAAATTAATTTTGTTTATTAATACGAAGATTTTTTATTATGTGTGTATGATTTATTAAAATTATATCAATAATAAAACAAATTAGAATTTCCTAAGTAAATAATTAATTTCAATATTTATTTTTTTAAAAGAAATCTTTTGAGTAGCAAAATTTAGGTCAAGATATTTTTAACAAACCCTGGATGTATACGGATTCTTCCAATAATTTTAAAGTCATTTCTATATGGCTATGTGATAGTCGCATCAGCAATGATAACACAGGTTGAATTATCTATTTGACGATGTAAATGACTCGGACTTTGTACTATGGGTACATGAGTGATTATGGAAAAGAACAGAGAGGAACCTCGTCCCCTTTTCATCTAACAACATTGTGCGAGAAATAAGTTGTATAAGAAAATTTTTTTGCTTAATAAAAAGGAAAAAGATATGGAAAAACAGCAAGAAAAAGTTATAAAATTTTCTCCATTACAACTGTTATTTCGTCATTTTGTAGATTTAGAAGCAAACAAAAATTATTTCATGCCTTTTTTAATTGTAATTTATATATAAACTTTAATTAAAAAGTATATTTTTTCTATAAATATATATATATATATATATATATATATATCTTATTATTTTTACGTTATTATTT